GTTTCAAAATAGTCACGTAGCAATTTTAATTTGCATTGTTTCAATTACTATACAATCATTCTTGTGAATCGTTGAGATTGACTGTGGCCAACACGTAAACATACGTGTTTACCAATTCAAAGTGGAACAAAATTAATTTAATTTTCAAAGGCGACCTTAATATTCAAATAACTCATAATGTATGACGCCGAGAAACTAAAATGACCGAGCGAGGGCTTGATATGTGGGTCACACGAATAAAAGGTGCATTTTTTCTTCCAAGAATGAATTATTCAACTTTTTGTTCCTGACAATTATCTCGAACTCAATTTCTCTTGCTACGGAATAAAAGTTCGTACCCGGAAACGTATGAAATTGCGCCTGAAATAGTGTACTTAAGGAGAAGAAAATTTTCCACTAGCCCTCAAATACTCTTCTAGATTTCTCGTTATTCATCTCGTTCGTCAATGAGCCTCTGAGAAAAATACCCACTAACAAACTTCCTTGAAAATATATGAATAATTAGTTCTGTATACATCATTAGTGATCTTCTAGCATCTCGTTCAGAAATTACGCCTCTGGGTTTACTGTGGACTTTATTCTTTCTTTCCGTATCTCTAATTATTAAAGTACCTTAGTGAACTACAGAAGAGAAAAGAAAGACATATATGGTGTTTATCGACAATAAAAAAGCATTCAATGGGGTAAATAGGAGTCAAGTAAACATCCTGAAGTGATATGAAGAATAGCACTATAGGAATATTTTAAATTGTTGTGCCTATATTTGATATTGTATTGGGTGATGACATTCTGTTTAGTTAGAACCTTTTACATGTTATTACTACGTTTTTTGATGCGAGTTTCCATCGCTTTCTTGGTCGCATCTTCGTATTTGATAGAACAGGCATAAAATCTGGTATACAAGATTACGTAGTCTGTTTATCGGAATTTGATCACCTTACTTAATGTATCGACTGAAATTTCGAGTGGTTCTAAAATTAGAGATGTTATGTTTCACCAGTGATTTTCTTATTGGAGATAGCACATAAATGCAAAATAATAATTCCAATAGGTTCTGGAACAGGTGAGTAGGAAGATAAGAACTTTCTTTTCTAGCATAGTATTGATTTTATGAATACAAATATTGCAATATTTTTATAATTGTTGTGTGTGGATACGAATAAAATGATTGAAAAAATTGTATTAATGTGACTGGTTTTTGAAGAAAAAGGTCAGAATATTTTTTCAATAATAGTCAAATATTATAGTCAATATATTCTTTTTAAAATTATTACCAGACATTTAACAAAACAATTACATCTATCAGCACGAATCAGAACCTTTATTTTATTCTTACGGTTGAATTCAGGAAGAGATAAAACTTAAAGGGGATATTCCGCAAAAATTACACAATTTTTAATTCCTTTAGAAAAATTACATATATTCCTGGCGCGACTACTGTAATTTTATTCGCACCCATCACTTAGTTCTATTAATATAGATGTGAAGAAAGAAGTTAAAATTGCATAAAGGGCTGCAATGAAATATAATTTTCCTGAAATACGTTGCTAACTTGATATGATATTACTTAATTAAGCAACTAGCTTATTAACGACTAGACAGAGTTTTTTAAGGAAATATAAAAGTTTCTATGAATTTCCATAACATCAAAAGCAAAGTGTTTATAAATTGAGATACAAGATTAAATATTAATTTGGAAAAGTGCTTGGTAACTAAAATTAACGACGACGGTAATAAATCCTGCGACAAATTCCAAAAATACTTCCAAAAATGTGCAGAAATGGCTCAAAAAACCGCGATTTAAAACAGTAAAAATTAACTTAGGAAACAACGAAAACAAGAATTGCCTGAGAGACAGCTCATAGTTGTTACATAAACCAATGAATCACTCAGGGAATTTACATTTAAGTACTGTCTAAAAGGTGGCACTTAAGACTCATTTCACACTCGAGAGAGTTGCTGTTTTGGCAAATAATTTCTCAACTGCAGCTTGTAAAGAACATTGTATTTTTCAGGATTCAGTACACAATTGTTAAGATCTCATGAAATAATGTAGTATATTCTCAGAAGGTGCAAAATATATTCAAATTATACAGCTCCTCAAATTAGCCAAACATTTGATAACATCGCATCAAAAAATGAATAGAATACACTTCCATAATCAGATCAACATTAAAGTAGTTGAAGCAGCTGCGTTAACTCAGCAGCAACACCGAAGAATGTAGTATCGTTGGCCGGCATTGACTGATTGTTTTATTTCTTTGATTGAGAAATGTTTCCGGGAATGACAGCTGCTATGGTCATTAGTATCTTTAGTGAGTGAAGTGAAGATTTTATCCCAGGAGTTGGCCCATTGAATACAGAGATCCGGCGCCGACCTACTTGAATCGACTTGGGAGAGTGCAGATATCTCACGCCAGCAGCTGGGGAGCGATATCTTCCCAGCAGATATCTCTCCCCAGTGGGGAACTACTCGATCCGGAACAAGCTGTAATCTTCCGACTGGTTTCCCCGAGCATGGGGTATAAGCGTAAGCGGAAGGGGAAGGACAAGGAAGAGAAGGAAATATTGCTCGCGGTCCCTGGTCAGTTTGTTAGGGTGCTGCTCCTGCATTTGCCTGTTATTCGTTGGCCGGGGTATTCTAGGGTTCAAGTTCGTCAATAGCGAATTTTTGACTAGCTTCATAGCAGTTTCGAATTCAATCAGACTGGAGGAAAATTCTAGCGGCCGGCTGCTCTAATTGAGAGTTTTCAGTGTTTTTCTTCCGATCAGTACCATGCGAATATTGAGGTATTATCCTAACGACCACAAGTCACACGCAACGTTTTCTCCCTCATCCTTTTTCATCTTCTTCGCTCGCATACACACACATACATACACTATACATTCACACATGTGGGAATACATATCCGGATTTTATATTGTTGTTTCGATTAGTATTGCCGCTAAGTGGAAAATATTTGTTTTATTTTCAAATATCCACCAGTCATTTCAACCAGTTCATTTCAAATAAGAGACCAAACATTTTATCATCACAAACTACATTTTATGGAAAACCATTTCTACATATTTACGAAGAACGCAATACTGTCTACGTGTTGCAACATCTTATTCCGAAATGTTTTTTTTAAATTTGTTAAATTCATTAAATTAATTTAACTTAACATGAATTGAAAATGGTATTTAATTTTTTTCTGGCAATAATCTATACTTCTTCACCTTCAACAAAAACAAATGGTAAAAAAGAGTTATTTCATTGGATGTTTTTGCCCTTGTAGCAGAATTGTCAAACCTTTGGAACCAAGTTCTAACAATAGTCAGGTACTAAACTATGCCTAACTAAAACTATGCCTAACTAAAACATCCCCTGTGTAACGTTGTTGCAATTTACAGCTTAACCCGCATGTAATCCCTCTCTCTCAATTTGAGAAACGCCTAAATGGGAGTGTAAAAAAGATATCCAGACACATAATATACTATATCGATTTGTATTTTTGAGGCATTTTCTTTAATCGTTCAAGGCAGGTAAAACCTGATTTAACCTTAACGTTTACGGTTCCGGAAAAAAAGGCTGTTAGTAGTGACATCTTAATCTACGTTAAGAGACTAAATAAAAGTAGGCATTCAATTCTGTTCCTTTGTAATGAAGTTAGTATGCGTTGTTTCTTAACACTTAATTTTTCGGAATACGAAAATGTTCTTGAGCGTGGGAACTCAACTATTATACAAAATTATTCAATATCTCGAATTTGCCCACTTCCTAGCTTTGCTAGTTGGTTCTTTAAATTAGTAAACTTTATTCCCAACTCGACTTGACTTCAAGCCAGCGTTCTCATCTTAAGGAAAATTCAGGCCATGCATTAACATCATTAAGCCATATCTAAAACACAAGTTAAATATCCCATAAAATAAGCGACTGTAAGTAACACGGTTCTACGTAATCAGAAATTGCTTCCCAACATACGAAAAGATCGAACAGTAATATGGAGCGACCTCCCACATTCTATAGCACTACGGGGGAAAAACCAAAACTCGTTAATTTTGTAATCTGCTAATGCAAGCTAATCTTTGAAAATTGCATGGCTGCTGATCGCGGAATAAGGGCAAATGAGGAAATGTGTAAACGTATCTTATAGAAAAATCAATTTATTCCACGGACAAATGGTCGTTTATAAAATTGGGTATTTATTTGATGAGGCCGGTTAACTGAGTATCGTTGTAATTATTGCAAACAAATGTTTTCAAAACAATTTCAACTTATTTTGAAAAGCACACCATGTATTTAATGCGCTGCCGGTCCAACCTGCGATATTTTCTAATCTACATACCCTAAAATCCCAAATCTTTCATTTTATTGAGGTTTACTGCAGGAATTATATTTCCATTTGTTAAAACCTGTTCTTTTACTCTTCACTCATGGCCATTTTAAAACATTTCATCGAATCTTCTTTTATGTGCATTGAAGGTAGAGGTGTGTTTTTTGTCGTAATAGGTATGTGATATGTCACTCCAGAAACTTTCATGATTTATCAGAACTCTTAGGTTTCTTTGTAATTATCGATTATAATGATTAATAAACACTGGAAACAACTACCTTTCAGTACCATGACTGCATCGGCATAAGAAAGAATAATTTCACAATGTTGTAATCTCGTGTTGTCGATCAAAGAAAATATATGTGATAAAAAATTTCTGTCTTCATATTTCTTGGAGAACTTTTTAAAATTTGAACTACTTTTAAACCCCTTATTGGGATTAGTTGAGCCCTCAACCCTCATTTTTAATTTAAATGCCTTCATGCCTTACTCGGAATTAGAAATTACATTCGCAATTTAGTATTTCTTACAGCGTGCACAGGCATTCGAGTACATTGAAAGGCAGAATTATGAAGTAAACAAAACTATTACAAAAAGAAACTTCAGACACATCAAAACCATATCTTCAATAACTCCGTGTGACATCCACTTCCATTCACACCCATTTCTCCCAATCTCTCCAGTTGCAAAGCATTCAACCGCGCCACCCACCTTCGCAACCACCAACGTCAGCACGCGTCAGCGGCACGCCAGTCAGCCAGCCATCAGCGCCACGCCCAGTCAGCGCCACCCAGTCAGCGCCACGCCAGTCAGCGCCACGCCAGTCAGCCGAGACGCCATCAGCGATACGCCCAGTCCAGCGATACGCCCAGTCAGCGATACGCCCAGTCAGCGCACCCCAGTTCAGCGATACGCCCCAGTCAGCGATACGCCCAGTCAGCCCACGCCCAGTCAGCGCCACGCCAGTCAAGCTATACGCCCAGTCAGCGCCACGCTCATGCAGCGATACGCCCAGTCAGCGATACGCCCAGTCAGCGATACGCCCAGTCAGCGAGTCACGCGCCAGTCAGCGCGATACGCCCAGTCAGCGCCACCGCCAGTCAAGCGATACGCCCAGTCAGGATACGCCCCCAGTGCAGCGCCCACGCCCAGTCAAGGGGCGCCACGCCCAGTCAGCGATACGCCCAGTCAGCGATACGCCCAGTCAGCGATACGCCCAGTCAGCGATACGACCAGTCAGCGATACGACCAGTCAGCGATACGACCAGTCACCGACGCCTAGTAACCTATGCTCAGTCGCCCACGGCTGCCACCGCATTCTCACCTCCACGACATCGCTCCAATACCCCCTGCCATTACCCCACTTCGGCTAACGCCATCCTGGTAACACCCTGTCGCCGTCACCGTCTTACTGTGTTCCCTAGCTCCGCCTCTGCCAGCACCATCCCGCCCCGCTGCCTCCACAGTCTCGTCCCGCGTGGTCGTCTCGCGCAGTCTCGCGTGGGCGCCTCGCCGCCACCGGAAGTGCACGCGGGCGAGACGCCCCTCGGGCGAACACGGCCCTCGCCCGCGAACACGCCGCCGCCTCGACCTTGGCGAGATTTATGGCGGAAGCGCGCGCCGACGACAGCGCCCGCCGCCGATATAAGAGACCCCGCGCGAACGCAACACATCACTCCTCCCAGCGCTTCACCCACCATCAACATGCAGCTCCTCACCGCAGTCTTCCTGCTGGCGGCCGCAGCCGCCGTCCTCGCCGCCCCCGCCCCGGCCGAGGACGCCTCCGCCGAAGACGACGCCCGAGATTTCGCGGATATGGCGCGGGAGGGCGCGCACAAGATGGCGGACATGGCGCACGACGGTCTGAACAAGATGGTGGAGCTGGCGAAGGGCGCGGGCCACAAGATGGCCGACATGGCTCAAGCGGTGAAGGACGAGATGACGGGCGGCGATCACGCGGAACACGATGCGAGTGGAGAGGAAACGAAAACAGGAGGGGCGGCGGAGCTGGAAAATGGCCATGTGAAGTCACTGGTGAGCTGCGGAGACGCAGATGGAGGTTGCGGTGGCCACGGTGAAGGCAGGAGAATGCGCAGTGAGTATTGCAATTCACCATCACAAGAAATGATACAATTGGGTGTTAAAAACTAGTCTATCTCGCGTTTTTTTAATAAAATAGTGAAATAAAAATATATTTTCTCTAGTACCTCAATTGCTATATAAAATAGTTTCTATAAGGAAGAAAAATATGGAGGTATATTCGCAGACGATATAAAAAGAAACAAGGCTCGTAGGTTTGAGAATGCTCGTCAGTTTTCCGTCAATTCACTATCAATTATCAATGTCACAATCGTAAGAAAATATTGATCATTTTGATTAATCTCAGTTTCAATCACTTGCACTTTGAAAATCAATATTTCAACGTGTTAACCTGACAAACTTTCTTATTGCTTCACGTTTGTAAATCTCGCACTATTTGCCCTTTCTAAATGATTGTTTTGAAAGTGAAAATACTGAAACTTAATGACGAAATTTAACTTCGAGTGCAATACTTTTTATATAACCGATAGTGGACATGGGCAAACTCTGTATTATTGCTAAGTATTTGCCCACAGAAAGAATTTTCATTAGAGTTTGTTCCTCAGAATATCAAATAGTTATATTTGACATCGATTTTCAGAATCTGAGCGATTTTCACAATTCCTCTGAAATCCATAGACCTAAAGGGATCGATAAACAATAATGTCTGAACTTAGGATACACAGTTTTTGAGTTATAAAGAGCAATGCGTGTTCGAGAGCAACGTGTGATGCGGGTTGCATATGTGTCCGTGTACACGTAATCGAGAATATGGGTCGGTCAGTCAGTCTAAGGGAGTCTGCAAAGTAAAAAACGATCATTAAATTTATTAATGAGGCCAACTATACAACAGTTACTAATGAAAGGGAAACAGTTAGTCGCTCCCCTCTTCACCCAGCCAGGCAGAGTCGATACACCGATCAGTTTTGTTAGCTTCTACCAGAACTACTAAGGCACATGCTGCTTTGGGGATATCACAAACTTTATTTTGCTCTTGTCAGAAATCAAACTAGCACATTATTGAGTGGAGACAAATAATAGTTATTAATGAAAGTAGGCAATTTGCGCGCGACGGTGGTGTACCGGTTAGCGTATCGGAATGTTATACCCAAGTTGGTGGGTTATAACCCGAACGAAGACGTGGATTTTTAAGGGTGAAAAAATCCTTCGTACGCCTTCCTTAGAAGGGGAAGTAAATACGGCTGTCCCATGTTAGTATATTTATTTGCATGTAAAAGCCTAAACAATTCCTCTGAACTAAATTCAAATCGCCTGTTTCTCGCCAAAGAAATACCTCCTTTATCTGCTAGTTGGTGAAAGGAGTTTGCGATATTTGCCTGGTCAGACGGAAGAGCGGGCTTCATGGCCTGAGTCTCGCCACGTAAAATAAGGCATTAATTCGATAAGCTATAAATAACCATCGCAATATGTTATTTGGTTTATCGGGCGTCTGGCGTTGAAATCTTTAACTTAATATCTGTATATAAGAAAACCGCACATAAACAGCAAATTTCGTTTATTAGATTGAATATATTCATACGCCATTATTAGCTACAACTTTCTGGTTTCGCTCATTCTTTACGAACGCGGTCCGTTAGCAGTGGCTTTTCATTCCTCCGTTCGGTTATGTTACGTCGACATTGCAACAGTACAATAAGCCGGAAAAGCATGAACTTGTGATGTCTGGATGTTGCTCACAACTCCCCTGCGCGTGTGTGTGCGCAGGAAGCTCCTCGTCCCTGCGACACGAGCGCTTGCGGCGGGAGGTGAGTGCGGTGATGCGAGCGCTGGTGGAGCGACGCCACGAGCAGGTACTTATTTTCCTACTATTATTATTTTCCTACTATTATTATTTTCTTACTATTATTATTTTCCTACAATTATTTTATTTTTCTACTATTACTATTTTACTACAATAATTTTTCTATCATAATTTTACTACTATTATTTTACTATTACTATTATTATTGTTGTTGTTGTTGTGGACATTAATAATTCATTTGACTACTTCGCCGCAGTTGTAACGACAAGACAACAGGGCTTTATTTTATGTTACTCTTTAGAATTGTTATTACCCTGACCACCTGGCCACAAATGTAAATTTGACAGTTGCGAGGGGATACGTTTTCCGTGTTGCAATTGTCAACCGCAGCTGCGAACCTCACACCTAATTAGATGATATAATTGTTGTAAATCATCTTTATCAGTAGAATGTCTCTTCACTTTTGATTTTTTTTAAAAAGATGGTTTAGTGAAAGTCAGTCCTGTGCACATTCTTCTCTTCTAGAAAAAAGTAAAGAAAATGATTGAAGCCATTTTCCAGAAAATTTTGAAAATGCTCCAGAAGTTGTGTATAAAGTGTTTACATCTTGGGCGCTGATGATGTTTATTTACGGATGAACAGACGTTTTGCTGAAAACCTTGTTTTCAGTATGAAGGTCCCGCAAAGCGTTAATTCTGACTAAACAACATATTACAAGACGAAGAAACACATTACATATAGAAGCAAGAAATCTTCTTTATCAGTTTCCTGGATCCATGCGAGTTGTTCTGTCGACAAATCGATCATTATACCTGAGTATTGCAATAGTTTATACTTTTTTAGTATGCGAGAAATTAATTGACGTCATATTGATGAATTAATATTTTCCGGTCGCAGCAGATTCTACCATTTTTGATTACATAACTCAGCAACCCCCTAGTTTGATTAGGCTGAGTGCCCCGGTGTTTACATAAACCCTCTTTGCAAACAGGTGATGCGCCTGGTGGCTGAACACGAGGCCCACCGCCGGCGTCTGACCGACGCCATGGACAACAGCCACGACCACATGGGCGGCGCCCCCGCGCATGGCGGCCTGCACCACGCGGACGGCGCCGACGGCGGCGGCGCGCAGCGCGCAGACCACGCCCACGCGGACCACCTCTCTGACCACGATCACGCGGACCACCTCGGAGACCACGCCCACGCCCAGGCCCACGCCCACGCCCACGCGGGCGCCCAAGTCAATCATGAACAGAACGGCCACGGCCTGCACGATGGACACGATGGGCACGATGGACACGATGGGCATGATGGGCATGACGGGCGCAACGACCACCATGCGGGGGCGGGGGCGGCGGCGGCGGCGGCGAGCGGGAACGGCGGAGGTGGCGCGGCGGCGGCGGCCGTGTCTGCCAATGCGGGCCATTAAACAAGCCTGTCTCTCGACTCTGGGCCTCAAAGGTGTAGCATCCTACACCAACTTACGTCCACTTTCTGGGGCGCAATAGTCTCCTTATATTCTTTTTATGTGTAGTGATACGAATGACAGGCAATATTCGCGACTGCAATTCAATACCTTGTGAAAATTCAAGGAAGTCACAAATATAATATATTTTTATGCAGAGAAAAAAAATTGAGAACTACTTCGTAGAAATATTAGATCATTCATACATGTATTACTTTCACTTCTTGAAAAGACTGCATGTTGCATAATTTTACTGTTTGCAAAAGTATTAAACCACTGAAAAGTGCTAAACACAAAAGTAATCTGTAGTCAAGTTTGCCCAGAATTTACTTACTCTGACGTAATGTTTATTAATATACAGTGAAAATGTATATTATTTTTATTTGCGAGAACAATAAACATATTTTCTCGAGTACTCTTTGATATTGATTTTCCTCTCTCATTAATGTTACTTTTACTTTTGGAGTGATAGTTGAGTCCTGAAAATCGGCTCTTGAAACGCTTACATTCATAATGAAATCTTTGACAATTTACAATTTTTACTGCGAGGTTCGATCTCGGATTTTTCAACTTAAATGAAATGAGAAGATTAGATTATCGTTTTGAGTGTATCATACAAAGAAAAATGATAACGTTTAATAAATGTATAAAATTCATTGACAATATAAAAGCAGTGACTATCTATCTCATGAGAACTCAAATATTAAGGATAAATGGTTTCAACATTTGACCAATGAATCTATACCTAAGAAAATTATAAATATCTTGAATCTTGAGAAACAGTTTAGCTTCCCAATCAATTACTATGAAACAGTGCGAAACCAACAAGGTACGATAAATTGATAATACTTCTAACAATGTCAAATCTAATGGTCGTTTTAATAAACATAGACAATTATCCAATGAATTTACCACTAGACTGACACGTATGAATATCCACGACCACCAGCTTCTTAAGAACATATGTTTAACCAAGATGTAAAACAACTCCAATATTATATTTTAATTAATAATGATAAAGGGAGAACAAATGTAGAGATGAATATTGATGAATGTAATGAAAAGGTCTCTTTTTTCAGTGTAGTAATAGAAAAATATGTTATTTTTATGAAAAAAACTTCAAAAGATATCAGAAGAATTCAAGAAACGAAAAAAAGGTTAATAAGATAGTATCTTGTACAAAAACGTTTTTGGAACGTATATCCTACACTTGACAGAATGTTAGGGCATATAACTTGGTAAAATTATATAAAACAGGTCTCATAAGAAGACCTGTCAGTACAGTCTATGTGTTATAGGCAAACAAATCTTTAAATTTTGATAGAAAACCACCTCTGGATCAAAACTATAAATAACTGTAAAAGTCAGTTTTGAACTAGTAGACTTAATGAGAAATATGCCCATTGCGGAATCGCATGTAATTGGCTCCTTTGATAGAATATGTTCCAGGCCATCGCAAACGAATTAATATACCCAGGCCGTGAAAAAGGACTAAATAAATTCGCTAATTTCTAGTCTGATAAAAACTGAAGTTATGATTGCTACCAAATACGTATTATACCTCACATTTAGTTATAATAAAACAAATCGTCAAATAAACTGAGTGGACAATGGTTCTGCTGAGTGACAACTCTTAGCAGTATTTTATCAAAACTTATTAGAGATTACGGTTTTAAAAGATACATTGTTATATACGAGTTATGTTGATGATAACTGAATGAAAACAATAATAAAAAAACAATAAATTATCAATTTTTCAAATATTTGTAATAAAAGAAAGAGATAAAATATCAATATCAAATATCAAATTGTTTTACAAACCTACTACTTCAGGATTAAATGAAATTTCTGGCCCAAATACCCTGTTTCTCAAAAAATTTGAATAATGTGCCACCTGGTGGATCAGGCCATTAAATTATCATGAATTAAATTCAATGAACATAATTTTAGAATTGTTACCGTGATCTCTTATAACAATGACTATCCAATACTTTTTTAATAAATTCATTTTGATTCACTTGTATAATATTTAAAGTTTAATCTTAATATTAAAGATTACTTTACAATGAAAAAATGTTTACAATTATCGTAAACACGCAGTTATAAATAGACCTATATAACTTGATAAATTTAAAAACTTTGAACAAACAACACGTATTAAAAAGTAAGAAAGAAACAATTTCTAAACTTGATTGAAAATATTATATATTAAATATTCTGTACTGGTTATAATTCAAGTTATTTTAGGACAGCAAAAGAGAATACAGGTTAAAAGAGTTAAAGAGCACCAAAATAATATTTAAACTACCATGTACACAAAACTTGATTACACAACATAGAATATTACAAGGGAATAATTAGGATTTTGAGAATGCCAAAATTGTAGATCATGAACAACGGAAATTCCATGAATTACTACTTACATTAGATTAAAAATATGAATTTTGCAACAGAAAATAATCAATTCAATGGAGACTATGACATGATATTTGCAATACACAACCATGCTTGCCCACGATTCTTTTCTGTTTTCCTTCCTTTCTACCCCCCTCCTATGTTACCAATAGTTCCTTCTCTTCTCATTATTATTCAGGCTTCTCTCACAATTTGGCACGGGAATGTCTTTGTCGATGAATTTAACTGTTTTTCTGACTACAACTTCAATGTATACGTATCTCAATTTTATGGCGAGTTCTTTTAGTTTGCTTAGGGAGTAATAAAAGTACTTTTAAATAGTATTTGATCTTTGTAATGTTATTTCTATTACTTTTGCAAAACCAGAAAATGGGACCATCTTAAGCCTTAAAACGCTGTTCATATAAATTAACACTACGAATAAATGTATAATGATACCTGCCTGTTATTTTTAATGTATGAGTGAATGCAAATTTTATCAGGACTGTAGATAATTATCACACGGTCTTTAACTAAAACTGTCGTTTACCAAAAATCTGAAAAAGTAATTTTGATAATGGTAGTAGAAAACATGATCTCTAAACACTCTTGATAACATTTTCAACTAGCTTAATGTTCTTGGTGACTTCTTTCCATATATTACAGGGTGACAATTCGTACAAGTGTTTGAGGTGAACTAGTAGAGGATCCTGCTGCATAGTATCACAAAAATGTACAACTAGATTCAGATCAGATAATTACTTGACGAATTTATAATAATGAAATGCAAGAACACTAATATTCGCTAACGTACGAACATATAAGAAAATATATTAGAAAAAGGTAACTTTAAAACTGCACTCCGTGACCTCTTGAACCAGTGAGAAGTCTCAAGCCTTTGATAACTCCTTCCAACATTATTTAAGTCGGTCCATTAGCATGGAAGGTTAAACTCATCGTCTCGCGACTCCTCTTACATTGAGACGCGTTGCCCAAGGTTGCGATAATAGAACGGCGCCTCGGGCGAGTGTCTCTCTCAGGGCACTTCGCGCGGATTAATCCCACGACATCGCGCGCGCGCTCTCTCGGGACGACGAAGCGTCGCCCCGTCGCCCGCCACCGCCATCTTGATGCGAAGAGAGATCCCCGATTAACTCGCCACTTAAGCGAGAACAAAGGACGCACGAAATGCGGAGCGTCACTTAATTGGCCGACGGAAACGTCTTCTGCTGTCTCATTCATTGTTAACAGGCCAGTGCAAGACTCCAACGTTATTATGTTCGCTTGATAGAAACCGGTTTCTGAACAGGTCTTGTAAATTGTAAAATTAGTTTCCGATACATCTATTATTTCGCTTTCTTTCGTTGAAATTTTAAAATTACAGTTTACTGATGTCACCATTTATAACGTGCAATGTTCTTCACAATGGTCGTAAACCTTTTATTATATTTTTTACCTTTGAACAAGGAGTACGGCAGGTTTGCCTGCTTACGATTCAAAGGACGTTATTATCCTATTTGATTTAGCCTTCTCCGGTTACTTCTCACTCCCATGGCCCACTGTACAATCGATGAAACGGGTATTTCGAGGCGGTCTTCTTGTGTCTTTGGAAGAGGGGTCCACACGAGGATAGCGTCATGCTCCAACCGGATACTATTTACCCAATATTTACCATTAACAAAGCCAGTAAATAATGGTGCTCATTTGGAAAGAAGACCCAGTGAGTTTAGAACCGCCATGAATAGGCCATCACCGAATAAAAATCTTCAACCATGGTGGGATTTACTTTTAATCGCATTTTTAAACCCAACCAGATTTGGAGATAAATGATGCAAACGCATATTACCAGAAAGCTTCATCAATGACTACGCAAAAGAGTGATACGAAGAGCGAAATGAATACTAATATATATGCATTCGGTCTGTTTCTGGATGACCGATGTATTTAGAGTGTATGCCGACTCAGTGCCTCGGCCTGAAGAGTTGCCGATTCGAGTCTCACCATGGACATGGTTGTGTGTACCTTGGCTTACATTTGGTGTCGGGGAAGTCGTGAGTGTGCTCAGACTGAGGAGCTCGTTAGTGTATCAGTATCTATTGTAAAAAGATTATTATGTGTCCCCATGAGGGACATAGTGAAGATCCGGCGCAGAAGCTAGAAAAAGCCCCCGGAAAAAGAAAATAATCATTCGGAGTGCATTGCATTAACAGCCTCTTAGAATGCCATTGCGATACACGGACAACGCCAGAAGGGGAGGGGGCGTTAACGACTGCCCCCCCAATAAATGGAAAAGGAACTGAAATTTCAAATATTTAATAACAAGTGGTAGAGGTATCTTTCACAATAAATTAAAATTCAAATATTTTAGAAGTGGTTCAAGTATTTTCCGCAATATATTAAAATCATTCTATGCAAAATTGTGTTCAAATATTTTGTTTCTGAAGTGTTACAAGGTTATGTCTGCATCTACTCGTACCACTTTCTGTACCTGCGTTTCTCTCCGTGAGGCACAGATGGTTATATCTTTTGTTCGGCAGCTGGTGGAACATTTACTATGCTACTCTACC